TGTCATTAGTTGATGGATTGCACACTTAACTTTAATAAATTGGTTAATGCCTCAAAAGTTCATATTTTTGAGTGAAACTGGGTTCATATGAACCCTAACTCATAAAAGAATATTTCAGAAGAAGAATCATGTACTGATAGCAAGTAATAAAAGAGATATTAACACACAAAGTAGGATCTACCTACTGATGGTTTCACAGTTTGCACACCTAAAGTGTTTTAGGTGTTTGGAGGTCAAAACTCTATATTTTCATGTGATTCTACTTGCATGAAGAAGATAACTCATATAGTTAACTCTCAAAGGAAGAATCATCCTTTTTCATCGAGTTTTGAAAGAGATATGGTCATTGGAAAATGCATATACAAATCTGTCAGTTTTGGACAGATTTCATACTCATTTTGTTTTGAGTAGTTGAAACCTCAAATCACCATATTTTTGAGTATTTGGGGAGTCAAAACTCAATGTTTTTGAGTGAGACCAATTGGATTACAAACCCAACTCAATAAATGAACTTTTAGAAGAAGATTTATGACATATGAACATAGTATTTGCAAGAAATGGACGATTTATGCACATGCATGAACTCTGTCAGCACTTAAAAATGTCATTTTTTAGGAATCAAACCCACATGCAACATGATTTTACCTATTTTCTTGAGTTCTAATGTTKGGGTCATAGATTACCACCATCATATGAACATTTTTACATGTTTTTGGTGTGTAATCTTTCCTTAAAACTCAGAATTTTCGGAGGTTAGAAGAAGGTAGTTTAAAATGCAAGAAAAGTGGGTTTTTTCCCCAAAGTTTGCAAGAAAAAGGTGGAGATGAAGTTGTTACCTTGATTGATGATGAGAAGGATGTGATATCTTCAAAATCCTTGCTATTTAAATGGAGAAATATGGAGATATTGGATGAATATGAAGGATGAAGAAGATGATCTAGAGTGTCTCTTGAGTTTAGAGAGAGAGTGGGAGTTTCATATTTTGAAAAGGTGAGAATGAGTTGTAAATGGGAAAAATTGTGATATTTATATGTGGATTTAAAGAGGGAAAGAGGGGGGGGTGGCCGGCCATTGGGGGGGGCCAAGCCCAAAAATAATTTTTTTTTATTTAAATTTAAGTCCCAAAAATTGTTAAAATGTCATTTTTCTTCAAATTATAAACTCATGTTGGTTAAATTCATTTAAATAAAAAGTTTTATA